CCAGTCGGCTTAATAAGCTGCAGAGCTGTCCAGTGATTAGACGCCTTAGGGATGATACAATACAGAGTCATGTGACCCTTCGTGACAACAGCAAATCAAAGCAGCTCACTACACAATGTCTGTTCTTAGAGATGCAGCGACACATTCTCAGTTAAGGAGAAAGATGAACAGAACAGAGGGGGGTCAGCATTTATGTGCATCTGAACGCAGGAGCCCTGAACTCATGGCTAAATACTCTAATTCTTTATCAGATATTGCATGGTGCAGTTATATGGCTGGTACATTTCCCCAATATACTGGAAGATTAGCTAGAAATTGTGGGCCCTGTTTCTGGACAACACTGAAGCTCTATGGGACCGAGAATAAGACACATCTAGCTTTGAATACATACTTCTCATGGAATTTAAGGATGAGAATAAAAATATAGAATACCAAGAGCCTCATTCTTAAATAATGAGGAAAATCTGTTTGCCCTAATGTCAACATCACAGCGCAATAGTCAGACAGAAGTTACAGTTAACCCCAAACACTGAGGCACTGGTCCCCAACAGAAATCCTCAAAATGCTTTCAAAGACCAAACCACCCGTTCTGATGTTAACAGTCAACCACTTTAGCACTTGAAATAATACACTTGTAACTTACTTCAACACGAAACTTAACGTAACAAAGATGATTTGATGAATATGGATACATTTTATAACGTGGAGTTACACAGAAATCTTTAAAGTGGCCAAGTTTGGGATTTGTGTGCTAACGCTAGCTGTATGCTAACTGACATTAGCTCAAGTCGCTTTCAACAAGCTAGCGCTTTGCGTCAATGAAATGACATGCCATTTTAATAAAGACAAAACTTAATTAAGGTATGCGCTACCTAACACACACAGGACCGAGTTCTCGTACTACAGTAACCCAGCAGTGTGTGAGGAGGCCTGCCGGTATGCCAGCTCGGTGCACATGGTGCGAACAGGAGCAGCTGCCATTTTCCTCTGACTGGGACTGAACTGGCCCTGTTCTCATTAACGATGTATGAGAGAACTTACCAGCGGGCTGGACGGCGGCCCATGGTTGCAATCTGTAAATTAACAAATTAAAATCAGTTATTTCGTTAAATTTGGGCTTCGATATCTTCAAAATAACTTTTATTCTGTCTATTTTATGGAGAGCCGTAGAAAACGCGCTCCCACCACGCACTCACCTAATGGAGGAAAGGAAGTTGAGGCAACTTCCGCTGCGTCATATGGACAGGAGTTGTCTGGGGAAATATATTTAATATACAGTTACGCATTATTTTTGCTTCAGGGTGCGTTGCTGTAATATAAAAGTCTTAATATATAGTACGTGTTTAAATATCTTGTCAAAAAAATTATTTAGTGGCAGTTGAAAAGTTCCAAGTGAATGCTGGGAAGTGTAGTTTTTCACGCATACAGGGCGATACGTACCATCCATTTTATATCTACGTCTACTTGACACTACAAAACGTATGCATTCTTAAACATTTCTGTATTTGACCACTTTATGCCTGTCTATTGTGTTATTAACATTTAGGCCTACAACATACACTGAACAGTGTAAACTGTTTTAGTTAAAAAGTTCTATTAACAGAGGTAGAATAGACCTCTCTCCATCCCCTTTTTACGGATTGGCTTTTGATAGGGGGAATTGTTATCATTAGGTCTACTGATTAGTGGAAAATAACTAAGTAGGATACATTTATTAAAACACAGTATCATACTGAAGTATAAGGTACGTTACTTAAGTATTTTAGTATTTTATGCTATTTTATAGCTCCGCCCCATTATGTTTCAGAGGGAAATATTGTGCTGTTGCCTCATCTTCATTTATTTAACAACTAAATTAGCTTTTCAGATTATAACATGTGATCAATTAATAAAACAAAATCCATTCGTGTAGATTAGGCTACACTACACACAACATGGAAATACTGTTTAAATAGTCTAAAACAATATTGATCCAATTGTAAAATACTTAAAAATTCATAGAGCAATTATTTAATTATTTCACTTTTTACATTTTCATGATTATACTTCTGTACCTAATACTTTGTACAATTGTGAACTTCTACTTGCAATTGAGTATTTTGTTGGCGTTTTTCAATAAAGACATTTAGACATATCACAGTAGCAATAGAATCAGTGTTGCATTAACAATGGCTCTGTTCTGTTTAAGTCCCAGTAAGCTGTGACAGTGTGACAGTGAGCCAGCATGCCAAAACCAGTTAATTTGAGACAAAAGCCCTGTCCTTTTTTTTCCCTCCCCAAGATTATTTTTGGATCAGTGGGTAATGTTAGGGTAAGGTTAGGGTTGGTTAGGGTTAGACAAGTAGTATGGTTAAGTCTCTAGGTAATAAATGTAAATCTATGTAAAGAAACATAGCTGTGTGTGTGTGTGTGTGTGTGTGTGTGTGTGTGTGTTTCTAATAGTTCCA